GTGTGTCACAGAGAAATGACATGCACATCGGGAGTTCTCATTTTTTTCCAAGCGAGCCGCCAATTCTTCTTCGGCCTCCTTCATTAATATAATTGCCTGCATGCTGACCTTCCTTCTCAAGTATGTGAAGGGTGTACCACCGGATGCTGAAAGGGTTTTCTCTACTTCTTTCCAACATCATCCTAACCTCCCCGAGTTGGTTAGTAATGTAGTGGTGGTTTCCTTTCCATACAGTGTCCATAGATCCCTGCGAGTTGTGGAGGAAAGTTTTCAAAGCGGAATGTGACGACTCAACCCTGTTTGTGCTCGTATTTTCTAGATGAAACACATTTTTGGTATGACAAACTGCCCACTTTTCTCGATGTTGCCACCATACTCCCTGTATGTATTGCAACAGACGTGGTTCGAAATTGCCCCATCTTGTCCTAAAGCGGCCAAACGCGACCAACATACCTTGCTCGAACCAAGAATAAAGCATAGGACACCAATATTGATCGTACGCCTCGTTGACCAAATCCATCATGTCCTTCCCAAATATTTCCAAATACTTCTTCTGCACATTGGTGTTGATGTGCCAAACACATAGAAAATGCGGGGTGCGGGGGAAGACCACAGAACCCGTAGCAAGTAGTCCACCTTTGTGGTCGGTGACGATGACAGTGGGCACGCGTGGATGGAGCAATTGTTGTATGCACTCCAGCAGCCACAGATACGACTCTTTTGTCTCATCCTTCATGAGAGCACAACAGATGTTGAAATTCTTCCCAACTGGAGTAGCACCTACGACCTCCACCCACGGCCATTTATATGCATTGGTCTTATACGTTGAGTCGATCAGAATCACGTACGACCAAGCCTTCAACATCTGGATGGAAATTGGATGGGCAAAAAAAAGATGTGTAAGCATTTCGTTATCGTCCTTCATAACCTCTGTATGATAATTCTCACGTTCAGCTGCTTGCAACGCATACTACACTGCATTCATCTCGCCCATCTCGTCTTTCCTAGACTTGGACCCGAGGTTATACATCTGCCTTTGGGTGTGATGCCCTTTGTCACCCTTCTGCTTGTTTATTGTCTGCTTCTATTGCGACGGAGGTACCCCAGCATCTCTCATCTGCTTCAGAGATTCTTTATCCTCCTGACTCAATTTATTCATTTGACTGTGGTCCTCGGGATAAAGCATCTTCTCATGATTGTGATACCCTCGCCTTAAACCGGTTTCTTGCTCAATCACTGCTTGTATCTCCCAGAATGAAGGTCCATCAAGAGCATCTGGATCAACCAGTAGTTCTTTGATTTTAACCTTGAACATGCATCCCGATCCTTTTGAACTTGTATTGCCACGACTCTCCTTGGAAGGATCCGGCTTGTATGACTTCCTCTCCCTACTGCATTTGTCGCAATACATATAACACATACCCAATACTCTATTGTTGCGCAACTCACGTGGCTTCATCGATCCCTTAGTTACAAAGAAACCAAGAGACATCGCGATGTTTTTGGTCACTGTTACAGCATCTTCGAAATTGTCACATCGGACACCATTGAGAAAATGGTCTGTGTAATCACCAATTAGTTCAACATTGAAAGCCATGTCCACCTGCAATTATGATTTCACAACTCGTTAGAAAGGTACAAATTATATGATTCTACAAAATTAAACTAAATTAATTAACTCTACAAAATAAAAATAATTTGACGATAAGAAATTTAATTAAATATAAATTATTAAATCAAATTAGCTCTACAAATTAAATCTAAACACAATAAACTAAATACCGCTACAACAAAACACAATCACTTAATTAAACTAATTGTGCTTAAATTGACTCTACAAAATTAAACTAAATGTAATGATTTAATTAAATCTAAAAAATAATGATAATTTAACTATAAGAAAATTATTTAAATATAAATTATTACGCTTCTTTAGCTCTACGAATTAAATCTAAACACAATAAACTAATTAGCGCTACAACAAAACACAATCGCTTAATTAAACTAATTGTGCTTCAATTGACTCTACAAAATTAAACTAAATACAATAATTTAATTAACTCCAAAAAATAATGATAATTTGACGATAAGAAAATTATTTAAATATAAATTATTAAACTTCTTTAGCTCTACGAATTAATTCTAAACAGAAAAACTAATTAGCGCTACAACAAAACACAATCGCTTAATTAAACTAATTGTGCTTCAATTGACTCTACAAAATTAAGCTAAATGCAATAATTTAATTAACTCTACAAAATAACGATAATTTGACGGTAAGAAACTAATTAGCGCTACAACAAAATACAATCGCTTAATTCAAACTACATATGAATTTAACTATGTAAAATAGAAATAAAATCAATAAATTAAATATAAATTATTAGCTCTAGAATTAATAATATGTCTCAAATATTTTTTTTAAGAACATTGCCGGCTATCGCCGTCCACTCACTGGCATCGGACCCCGTCCGCTCGCCGGCGTCGGTCCCAGTCCGCTCGCCAGTGTCGGGCGCCGTCTGAAGACGGCGAGCGGACGGGGTCCGCCTCCGGCGAGCGGACGGGCAAAAAAATTACATGCCGCGAGGAGGTCAGTCACGGGGGTTTACCTGATTCGCTGGTCCGACGATGGGGTACGGCTGCCGTCCAGTGGCCGGCGAATTATGCTGACGAGATTGGTCCGGTGGCCGGCGACTTAGGCTGCCGTCCGGTGGCCGTGAATCTAGCAGTGTTTGTGGGGGGTTGGTGGTCGGGTGGTGTATGTTGTTTAAAAAACCATTTCAGCGAATAAAATATAAAGAAAAATTTGGAGGACAAAATTGTCTTTTTAGTGTTTTTTACGGGCGGCAAATAGTAATTAGCCGGGCAGCAAATAGTAACCCTCAAAATGATAAAGGGGAACTGGTTGGAAAACTGATTTTCACATTTGAATCGAGTTTTCAACAATAACTTTGGACTCGAATGCCATAATGAATGCACATTAAGATGTTTAGCCATGCTGGATAGACTATGCTTGTCCAATATATAAAGTAAAAAGAGTAATATGCATACCAGATTGGTCCCTGAAGTAATTTTGCCCCTGTCGTTTCTTGTAGAGATGAATGTGCCTCGACATTCTATTGCGTGCATCATTAAGCTTTGTGATCTGGGTTTGTAGAGATGTAACTGAAATTTGTAATTGATATTTATTTAGTATAAATAATTATGCTATTAGGAGTGACAAATTATATGAATAAATTATAGGTAGCGGTGAAAAACGACTATGAAACAAATATATTCACTTACGTGTGTCTCCCATATGTGTGGCAGTACGGGATCGCTTAGTTCTAAGTATAGCACGTCGTCGCTGTCGCGCAACCCTAACAAAATTGGAGGTAAGTTTTTCCAGCTCAGCCTGCATTGCCTCTAACTCTGTACGCGAATAAGAACCACTCTTCCAATGATGTTATAATAAAGTAAGAATAATAATACGATCACTATAAAGAATACGAACTTACCTGCTTCATATACCCTTGGGTCCTTTGGGGCGGGGGGAGCAGTTTCAGGTGGTAAGAAAATGGCACGACCCTTCCCTGCAAGAGATAAGTAGCACAATTAGCGGGTGGATTTCGCATATACGGATCATGGTTTGGAAAACGCTGCAGTAGAGGGATTTGTTCTAGCAACTTATGCATGTACACTTGCTTTCTCAAAACCCCAAAAATGTGTTTCTTGGCATGGTCATATGCCTGTTGGCATCTTATAATCATGGATTAAAAGGTCTCAGTGTGGCATATTGTTTTCCTCTGTTCCCCTAACTATTGCGACATGTTTGAAACATATAAAGTTTCCCATAAATTGAAAGGAATCAAAGATTGTTGTCCTGTAGATAGTCGTGGAAGATGTAAAATTAACAATCCTGCAAGGCCTTTTACTTTGTAATCGAACTCGGCTAGTTACGTAGAAGGAGAAATCTTACACGGTACATTGCTTCGATCCAAGTAATCTTCAATATGCGAAGAAGATGACTCGCCGATGGTGGAAGCTACGTCAAGCATAGTCTATATGTTGAACCAGATGTAGAGAGAAGGTGGGTAGGAGGGGGATTTTGAATCAGGAGAGTTGCAGTGCACGGAATCGGAGAGTGACGGGGAGAAAGCAAAGGAGGAGGACCACTGCCGGTGTGAGTGACTGGGGATGCAATCCGGCTAGAAGGTTAATCCGCTATTTCCAATTGGTTGGCAGCACTCGTCGCTAGGTAGAACAAATTCCGGAGAGGGACGTGCAAAACGTCAAGGATGCGTTGCGCCGCCACCGGTGTGAGTGACTGTGATGAGATGTCCGCGAGCAAGTTCGTCCCCGAGTTCCAATTGGTTGTCGGCGCTGGCCGCTAGAGAACGGATCCGGAGAGTGACGCGAGAACGCCAAGGAGGAGCTGCACCGCCGGTGTGAGTGACTGGGGATGCAAGCCGGCGAGCAGGTCGTCGCTAGGTCGAGTGGAGGGTAGCATCGATTAGTGTTCTGTTTTGTGATTTGGAAGATGAACAATTGTTCATTATTTTTTTATTTGTGGGGTATGTGATGATTTTAGGGTATGGGGTCATGTCGCCCGCGTTTCATAATTTAGTAGCAATTTGGGCCTAGATACGGGCCTACACTCCCTTTATCTTCAGCAAGCAAGCTACTGGGCCAGACGAAACACAAAAAAAAAACCCTCAGATTAATTGGGTTGTATAATTACTAAATTGGGTCTCCGAAAATTGCTCTCTGACCTGCAATTTTAAAATCCTGAATAACTGCTTCTAACTCCACTATAATATATTTGTAGATAAGAGAGAATGAAATGAGTGATGAAGCGTATCATTTAAGAGATGAAGATTAGCAAATGGTCGTAATTCCATTTGTAAATAGAAGAAACACAAGTAAATACTAGAGATAGCTGAAGTTAAATGGATTGAATTGATATTAGGACATGATAACAGTTTGAATCCCGATCTTGCTCGAGCATAGGATAATTCTCGCATAAAATTAATCTTGTATTCATGGATACAATGACATATATCAAGTACTTCTCATTTGGATTAACTCGAGTAATTTTCTTATATGTCCCGAAGAGACAATCAACCTTAGAAAGAACTACGAATAATAAGTAGACGAACAACAAGAAAGAACTTGATTGAATCCAAACATAAAAGTTTAAAAGGAAACCGATAACAAAGAGATCTAACCATTCATTCATTCAAAGGCTAGAAATCCTAGGATTAGGGCAAGCAAACCCAAGGAAGCTAGAATCACGCTCAAGTACAGCCATCCGCTTCTGGTCCAAAGTGATCCATGCCTCAATGCTTCCTCTCCCGTCCGTCGAGTCCACAAACACCGTCAGGTTCCGGAAAGCCCGGCCCACTTTCCCCATCACCGTCACCCAAACCGGTTTCCCCCACCCGAAATCCTGACCCGTGAACCCGAACCCGCACCAGCTCGTAAACGCGAATATATCCGGCTTCTCCGCTTCAAACATCGCTTCCAACTGCTCGAAGAAACCCGACATCACCTCGAACCCGTCTTCTCCCTGGAGCGACTCCACGTAATCGTTCTTGTACAGCGCGATCGCTTCACTCAGCAGATTCCCCAGCTCCGACATCTCCGTGTTGGACTCGTCGTAAGGGTCGGCCGCCGCCGTTGCCCACCAGAACGCGTTCGCAACCGCCGCGTCCGGCATCGGAGGGTTGGCAAACTTCCGGAGATTCACCGCCTCCACTAGAATGGAAGTCTTGGATGCGGAAGAAACCGCCTTCGACGCCGCCATACAGCATTTCCAGATGAAACAGGACAGTGCCTCCACTCTCGACAGCCTGATAAGTGATTTCCCCTGTTTTCCCCTTCCGCCTCCGGCGGCCATGGCTTGCAGCTTAGCGATCGCCTTGGAATCGAACACGAATCTCCTGGTTACGTAATTTTCTTCAGTGAACCAGAGGGTTTCCATCAGATTGAGGTAATTTTCAGGGGAAGGGTCCCTCGGCGGGAAGAGCTTCGATGCCTGGGCGAAATCAGGGGAAATTATGTCATTTGGTTGGCCACGGAGAAGGGCAGTGAATGTACCGAGGAAGGATTTCATGGTGGAGCCGTCGACCAACTTGTGCGACGCAGCCCAGGCTAAGGCGATTCCGCCGCAGGTGAAAACAGAGACTTGAAGCTCCAAAACAGGGGAGCCCACGTCGGAAAGATCCTTCTGAAAGGGCTGTCGAGAGAGGAAGAGGTTCAGAAGCTCTGTTTCGTTGCGTTTCAGGAACTGGGCCAGGCGGCAATCGACTACTCTTGCTAGAGTGAAAGGTAGACCGGCATTGAAGCTGTCGATGAACATGTTGCCGGAGTCGGTCCGGCCGGAGAAAGGGTAGTAAATGTTGAGAGTCTCCGCCAGGGAGCGCTTCAGACGGTGGATGAAGGAATCGGCGGAGGCAGCGAGATTGGGATTGTTGTGGTCAGGATTCGCGTAGAAGAGAATGGGGGGGAAATAGGTCAAGGGAGTGAGCTGGTCGAAGAGGCAGAGCTTGTGTGGAGATTTTGTTTGTATGATTTCAAGGGAAGATGGCTTCACTAGCTCCCTGGAAACGATTCTGACCTTCATTTTTTTTTTCCCGGGAGGGCTTGTCTTGGAGTTGCTTTCAATGGCGGGGCGTTTGGGAAGTGATTTTTGATGATTCAGGTTGCTTCACTTCCTTGTGTACTACTTATACTGGTTTCATAGCTCAGGCCAGTGACTACATACTGAGTCGCTGACAGAGGTAATTTGTTAGGTCAAAGTACAAATATGAGATGTTTGGCCAGCTTGGGTAGTATCCAACTACATTTTCGGTGATTAACGTTGGATAATATAAGCCCATTAAATGAAAGCTAACTTATGAGCTTAACTTGTACAGGCTCGCTATACTATGTATGGTGAGGACTTGTACACATGTTCTCAACGAAAAATCAACTATGATATCATGTTATTAACCAACCGGTTCCAATAACTCGAGTTGTTAACAGACGACATTCCTTCGACCATTTTTTTGTGAAACCTAATTCGTGTGATCTTCAAGACTAACGGAAAACGGCGGTACTATGTGCATTGAAGACAAGGATCATCTAGAGGTGTCAGTTTTGGTCAATTAAATAGATTCTCCACGGACATATTACTTGCTTCTTCAGTATTGCTAACTATTATAGCATGATGTAGCCCGCCCCCTCGAGAGTACCAGTGGTAGGGCTAAGTTTCGTTTGATCTCGTTCAAGTTAGGCCGTAGTTGTATTTCCTGCAAGCATAATCCAGGCGCATGCATGCTAATATTGAGACTTATACGAAGCGTTTGGGCATAGTGTTTGATAACTTAGCTCAATCTTATTTAGAAGTCAATACAGCTTTTGGCGATAAACGAAATGACCCGATGAAGTCTGTCGCATTTGGGAATGGCGACCATTTGCCAAGCGTTGTTGTCTATGGTTGTTTACGGATCATGGAAGAAGAAAACGTGGCGATTCCTTGGCATAAAGGAGATCTCCTCTTGAGTCTTGATAGATAATTGAGCAGTTCTTCATGCTAGAAAGCTTTCACTCCACCTCGTCGGATTTTGGCGGCACTCTGCAAGTAGTGAAATGTGTTTACTTCGACTATGTACGTATAGGACAATCCAATTTTCCTATGGTGAAACAAAAGAGGAAACACATTCTCCACAAATAAGAGAGAATGAAATGAGTGATGAAGCCTATCATTTAAGAGATGAAGATTAGCAAATGGTCGTACGTAATTCCATTTGCAAATAGAAGAAACACAAGTAAATACTAGAGATAGTTGAAGTTAAATGGATTGAATTGATACTAGGACATTATAACAGTTTGAATCTCGATCTTGCTCGAGCATAGGATAACTCTCGCATAAAATTAATCTTGTATTCATGGATACAATGACATATATCAAATACTTCTCATTTGGATTAACTCGAGTAATCTTATTTTATGTTCCGAAGAGACAATCAACCTTAGAAAGAACTACGAATAATAAGTAGACGAACAACAACAAGAAAGAACCTGATTGAATCCAAACATAAGAGTTCAAAAGGAAACCAATAACAAAGAGATCTAACCATTCATTCACTCAAAGGCTAGAAATCCTAGGATTAGGGCAGGCAAAAGCAAGGAAGCTCGGATCGCGCTCAAGAACATCCATCCGCTTCTGGTCCAAAGTGACCCAGGCCTCAATGCTTCCCCTCTCGTTCGTCGAGTCCACAAAGACAGTCAGATTCCTGAAAGCCCGGCCCACTTTCCCCATCACCGTCACCCAAACCGGTTTCCCCCACCCGAAATCCTGACCCGTAAACCCGAATCCGCACCAGCTCGTAAACGCGAATATATCCGGCTTCTCGGCTTCAAACATCCCTTCGAGCTGCTCGAAGTAACCCGACATCGCCTCAAACCCGTCTTCTCCCTGGAGTGACTCCACGTAATCGCTCCTGTATAACCCAATCGCTTCGCTCAGTAGATTCCCCAGTTCCGACATCTCCGAATCATCGTGCGGGTTCGCCGCTGCCGTCGCCCACCAGAACGCGTCCCCGATCGCCGCGTCCGACATCGGGGGGTTCGTAAGCTGCCGGAGATTCACCGCCTCCACCAGAATCGAAGTCTTGGCTGCGGAAGAAACCGCCTTGGACGCCGCCATACAGCATTTCCAGATGAAACAGGACAACGCCTCCACTCTAGACAGCTTCCTGCTCGACTCCCCCTGCATTTCAGCTCCTCCTCCGGCGGCCATGGCTCGCAGCTGTCCGATCGCCTTGGAATCGAACACGAACCGCCTGGTTACGTAGTTTTCTTCAGTGAACCAGAGGGTTTCCATCAGGTTGAGGTAGTTTTCAGGGGAAGGGTCCCTCGGCGGGAACAGCTTCGACGCCTGTTCGAAATCAGGGGAAATGATGTCGTTTGGTTGGCCGCGGAGAAGGGCAGTGAATGTAGTGAGGAAGGATTTAAACGTGGAGCCGTCTACCAGCTTGTGAGAAGCGGCCCAGGCTAAGGCGACTCCGCCGCAGGTGAAAACAGAGACCTGAAGCTCCAAAACAGGGGAGTCTCTGTTTTTGGGTTCTCTCTGGAAGGGCTGTCGAGAGAGGAGAAGGTTCAGGAGCTCTGTTTCTTTGTGTTTCACAAACTGGGCGAGGCGGCAATCGACTACTTGGGCGAGAGTGAAAGGAAGACCGGCGTTGAAGCTGTCGATGAACAAGTTGCGGGGCCCGGTCCGGCCGGAGAAAGGGTAGTAATTGTTGAGAGTATCCGCCAGGGAGCGCTTCAGGCGGTGGATGAAGGAATCGGCGGTGAGATTGTTGGTGGTGTCAGGATTTGAGTAGAAGAGAATGAGGGGGGAGAAGGTTAAGGGAGTGAGCTGGTCGAAGAGGCAGAGCTTGTGTGGTGGTTTCGTTTGTACGATTTCAGGGGAAGATGGCTTCACTAGCTCCCTGGAAACGATCCTGACCTCCATTTTTTTTTTTTTACCCCCGGCGGTTTCTTTCGTCGGAGCAGGAAGTTGCTTTCACTGGTTCGGCGTTTGGGAAGTGATTGTTGATGATGAGTTCAGTTTGCTCGCGCCCTTCTTGAAGCTATACTCGTGGCGCATAAAGAGGAAGAAGCCATTAGAATTTAGAAATGGCGATGAGAGGAAGAAGATAGTAAGAACATGTAGTGGGTATTATTATGGTACTTGCAGGATTTGATGGGTGCTGGTGGGGAAGACGGGAAGAGTAAATAACTCGGTACTGAGTAGTAGCTAACACGGCCTCTTGTTAATGGAACGAAATCAATGCGATGGATATTGGAGCTTTTGAGCGGTCGGGGAATTTCCGGCTAAGAAAGATGACTTTACAGCGGACTTTCAGGCCATATGGACGGCCGGAAAACAAGGCTCGGTAGCTGGCTGATACAGAGACATCGCCGACGGACCTTTGGACAAAATTGTGAAAGGCATTTATGAGGTAGACTAGGATAGAATAGATCGATCGTTGGATGGAAGCTTTTGGTGTATTGCATTTGCAGCTTTCATTTTCTCTCTCTCTCTTTTGGGACTGCTTCCATTGCATAGTTATGGATTTGGCTGGGTTTTAATAATGACTGTTGGGACCGTCCTTAGAGCTCGTTTGAACCTCCGATTCCAGATGTTGTATTCTCGGTATACATGTATCATGAGAATACAACGTTTTTTACTTGATGTACTAATAACAGAATGCATGTATTCATAATGTGTATACTAAGAATGTCAATTACTTCTTATTTCTGTTTTTTCCGTCATAATATGTCAATTACTTCTCGTATTCGGTAAGACTTCTTGTATTCGATAAGAATGGAAGTAGTACAATAACGTGGTAATCGATAATAATTTGTCTTATTTGTGACTTGTGAGTCCAAAATGTATTTGAGAATGTGGTTAGAAATTGTATGCGCCCATTAATTTTTGCATCACGAGACGAGATTTCATACCCATGGCTAGATTTTCGCCTCAGGGATGAGTTTTCACTGCCCTGGTGGGGGCTTCACCTCGAGGGTGTGATTTCATTCTATATGGACTCATGGAGGGAGTTTCGCTTTAGGAAGTGGGATTCATTCTCATGGTGAGTGCTTCTCCCCGTGACGCTCCTCTTCCGAGACCAGATCATTGGCCGTTGCTCGTCCTCCTTCGCTGCCGCGCTTGTCCCGCCTCGATTTCCGTTATCTCCTCCTTCGCCGCCTCTGCTCTTCCCCCAGCCACCACCATCGTCGCCTCCGGCTGCGCTTCGTCCATCTCTGACCGAAGCAGCTCGCCTCCGACCTTGCTCTTCCTGTCGACCGCCGCCGCTCCTCCTCCTTCACTGAGGTAGAGATAGGAGAGAAGAAGAAGAGGTTTGGGGTAGCAATCTCAGAGAGATGAGAGACAAATGTATCTGTGAGAAATGCGAGTGTATCATTAATTTCCTAGCAGCATGGTAGCCATACTCCCATCACCCACATGAAATTTGACGTATATTTGTGATGAAATTACTTAACTCGGAGTGGAAATGGGAAAGATAGAGAAAGCTGTTATGAGAAGCGAGAGAAGTTAACCTATAAGAACACAGATCCCTATGGATCGTGCTCTGCATACATATATAACACCGATAACAATACCATACATATGAGCACGTCCTCATAGGCTTGAGATGATCGGATTCGGATTGGCAAAAGCCAAGAACTCAGGATCCGCTCGAAAACCTTCATCCTCTATTCCTCCAGCGTTATCCAAGCCTCCATCTTTGACAATTTCTATGTTTAGGGTTGAGAAATGGCCGAATAATTACAGAGTCAGCAGTGTGCTGCTCTGCTCTTTTATATCAGCTCATAATCTGGGATTACAGGTAGTTGCCAAGTGTCTGTATGACACTGGCTGAGTTTAAACACTAACAATGTTTTAACGGCTAATACTCAACAATAATAGAACCAGTGTCGCAGTACCTTTAGGAATAGAAACTCTACTGAAACGACTTCGTTTCTTCTTCCTCGTTTCTTCTTCTTCTGCAATCCTTCTTCCATATGGATTTGTTGTTCTTCAATTCTGTCAGCCTCCCTCAAGTTGTGGCAGGCAGCAAGACTCCCAACTTGGCAAGCAAATCCTTAAGCCTAGCCTGCTCCAGTCCATTCGTAAAGATATCTGCAAGCTAGTTCAAGGTGTTGACATGTTGTAGCTTGATCAAACCTGTCTTAATCCTCTCTCTGGTGACATGGATGTCGATCTCAATGTGCTTGGTCCTCTCGTGAAACACAGGGTTTTCAGCTATATGGATAGCTGACCTGTTGTCACAGTAAACAGTGATGGGTAAAGGAACCTTGACACTCAATTCCTCCAACAAACCCTTCAACCATTGTAACTCACACACTGCCATTGCTAAAGCCCTATATTCTGCTTCTGAAGAGGATCTGGAGACAGTAGTTTGCTTCTTAGTCTTCCATGTCAGCAGAGATTTTTCCAGGAAAGTGCAATAACCAGTGGTGGATCTTCTAGTGTCTGGGCAGCTTGCCCAATCAGAGTCACAGAAAGCAGTCAATCTCAATTCAGCATTACTATCAAAATGAATTCCCTGACCAGGTCCATTCTTCAAGTATCTTAGAACCCTGTAAGCTGCTTGTAAGTGCTCCTCATGTGGCTGCTTTTGGAACTGGCAAAGCTGTTGAACAGCAAATGCCAAGTCTGGTCTTGTTATGGTGATATAGTGGAGTCTTCCCACTAATCTCCTGTATTGTTCTGCATCTTCCAAAGGAGTACCCTGTGTTGCTGACAGTCTTACTATATAATCAACAGGTGTTTGACAACCCTTAGACTCCAAGTAGCCTGTCTCATTTAGCAACTCTAGGCAATATTTCCTCTGGCACACACTTATACCATTGGCAGTTCTGTTGATTTCCAAACCAAGGAAGTACTTTAAAGGACCTAGAAGCTTCATCTTAAACTCCTGGCACAAAGCCTTCTTAACCTGCTCTATATCCTTTAAAGCATCTCCCCTATTATAATATCACCAACATAGATAAGCATTACTACAATTCTTCCTCTGATCCACTTGGTAAACAAAGAATAATCAGATGCAGACTGGCTAAAGCCATTTTTTAGGAGGAAACTACTTAACCTTGCAAACCACTGCCTGGAAGCTTGCTTCAGGCCATATAATGATTTCTTCAACCTGCAAACCATTTTCTGTGGACCTGACTGTTCCAAATCCAAACCTAGTGGTAGTTGCATGTACACTTCCTCATTTAAGTCCCCATGAAGGAAAGCATTGGACACATCTATTTGTTCCAATGTCCAATTCTTCACAGAAGCAATTGCCAGAAGAGCTTTTACTGAGTTTATCTTGGCTACTGGGGAAAAGGTGTCTAGGAAGTCAATTCCATAGACTTGTGTGTACCCTTTGGCCACCAGCCTTGACTTAAATCTCTCAATGGACCCATCTGGCTTTAGTTTTATCTTATAAACCCACTTATTTCCAATTACCTTCTTTCCTGCTGGTAATGGAACTATATCCCAGGTTTGGTTTTCCTCCAATGAATCCCATTCTTCTCTCATGGCTTTTCTCCAGTGCTCATATTTGATTGCTTCTTGATATGTCAGTGGTTCTTCTAGCTGGATGACACTCAATGCATACTTTCTGTCCTCAGCATTAAGATGATCAACATTTAGAACCATTGGATATCTGCTGGTAGTTGCTGCAGTATGACTACCAAAAGCCCCAAACTGTAGTGCTGGATCTAATTCATAGTTATCATACTTGCTATGCAATTGATAACTTCTCTTTGGTCTTGATGTAGGTGCAAAATCCTGCTGAGGTGCCAGTTCTGGTTCTAGCTCAACTGTCTGCTGTTCTTCATGATCTACCACATCCCCCTCTTCAGCCGTGGCCAATTCAGGAGATGGTGGAGGCTGAGAATGAGAAGAAGAACTAGGGATAACCAGAGCTGGAGGAGGATTAAAATCCACTAGAGTGTCAATGGGAGGTGGAGAAGTAGTGGAAGATGGAGAAGAAGAACTCTCAACTGTTCTAAAAGGCAAAATAGACTCATAGAACACAACATCCCTGGAGACAAGGATCTGTTTGGTGTTGATGTCAAGTAATTTATACCCTTTGATCCCAGGAGGTATACCTAGCATAACACATTGCCTGGCTCGAGGTGCAAATTTGGTTCTACCTGCAGCAGGAGTCCTAGCATAGACCAAACTTCCAAAAATCCTCAGATTACCAAGAAAAGGAGGTTTATGATAGAGAACCTCATAGGGAGACATGTTGTGAAGGATAGGGGTAGGCATTCTATTTATCAAGTAAACAGAATGTAGTATGCAATCACTCCAGTACTGTAATGGAATACCAGATTGGAATCTGAGAGACCTAGCTACATTTAAAATGTGCTGGTGCTTGCGTTCAACCCTAGCATTCTGTTCAGGAGTGTACACACAGGACATTTGGTATTCAATGCCCTCATTCATGAAAAATTCACACATTTCCGACTTTTTCCCCTGATCACTCCTAACAACCTACACTTTACTGTTAAATTGTGTCTTAACAAGAGAACAGAAACCCTTGAAAAGATCTCTTGTTTCACTTTTATGATGCATTAGATAAACCCAAACAACCCTTGAACAATCATCCACAATGGTAAGAAAGTAACTGTATCCATCATAAGAAATGACTGACAAAGGTGAAAGGACCCCATATGTCCACATGAACAAGCTGAAATGGTTTGTCTGCATTGGTAGTGCTAATAGGGAAAGGTACTCTTTTGTGCTTGGAAAAATGACAAATGTTACAATGATCTACTTTAGAGCTAGTTACAGATGAGTCTATGTGTTGTAACAAGCTAAGTCTATCATTGCTGGGATGTCCTAATCTCCAGTGCCACAAATCTACTTGTTGAGTGCTAAAGTTGAAGACACTAGCAGCTTGGCTTTGGTGTTGGTCTGATTGGTTGGTGGTCTGATTTGAGAAGGTAAGCTGGTAGAGTCCTCTAATTTCTCTTGCTAAACCAATCGTCCTCTTGTTTAGAAGGTCCTGGATTTGGCAAATATCAGAGTGAAAGTGTAAGGAAAGAGGGTAGTCATGTGTAAGTCTGCTAACTGAAACCAGATTGAAAGAAAAACTGGGCACTAGGAGAACATTGTATAGGAAAAGACCAAATGGTAGTCTGACAGTTCCTATATGACTTACTAAGACTTTGGAGGAGTTTGGTAGATGAACAAAAACATCTTGAACATTCCTATACTCAGTAAATAAGTCTATGGAACAAGCTATATGGTCAGATGCTCCTGTATCTAATATCCATAAACCATCTGGCTTAAGACCACTGAATTGAATGGTTGAGGATAAGACATATTTACCTGAGTAATTTGGAAATGGGGGTAGGTACTGAGAAACAGAATAGGCTTGGTGTTGTATGGAAGGAGAGGTTGGGGGAGAAGGTGAGGTATGAACTGTGTTGGAAGGTGGACCTGTGCTACCAGCACCATAATGCAGCAAATATCTCAGCTTGTTCATCTCCTCTGGGGTGAAACCAGGAATAGGATAACTTACCACACTGCTGTCATTATGAAATCTGGATTCAGATGGTGATTCACTGCTACTGGAACTGCTGTGGGACACTGAACCAACAAATTTTGAATACCAGGTTGTACACCACCTGCCTCTTCCTGTTCCTTAACCTTCCTCTTATAAGTCCAACATTCCTCAATGTTGTGGTTGGTCTTCTTGCAGAACTTGCAGTATTTCTTACCCTGACCCTTTTCATTAGACTCATTTGCCTTAGTAGCCTCGGTTTGCACTGCAAGTGCCACAGTCTGTGACCTTTTACCACTTCCTGATACATTAGCTTTCAACTCTTGCTCATGTTGCAATAAATCATCCACTGCATTTGCTAATGTGGGTAGAGGCTTAAGCATCAGAAGCTGTTTCTTCACTCCTTCAAACTCCGGGTTCAAGCCCCTGAGAAATCTGATTAGGTAGTCAGTCTCTTGCTTCTCATTATATGCCACCACTGCAGTGCAGGGAACTGGGTTTGCTGGGATACAATTACACTCAACAATAGGACTATATTCTGAGTATTCATCCCATAAACCTTTGATCAAAGTGTAGTATTGAGTAATAGTCATGGAACCCTGTTTGCATCGATGTATCTCATCCTCTAGATTTGTCAATCTATTAGCATTCACCTGACCAAATCTACGATGAAGTCCATCCCACAAGGTTTTGGCATTCTCATGACTCATAACCGACCTCTTGATATCTTTCTGTAGTGTATTAAGAATCCATGTAACCACAGCTATGTTGCAACTATCCCACAGGAGATAGCTCGGATCGTTTCTGGCTGGAATCGCCATAGATCCATCGATGAAACACAGTTTGTGCTTCATCTTCAGTGCCTTCTTCATAGATCTACTCCACATGGAGTAATTAGTCCCATCCAACAACTCAGAAACGATGGGTTGTGTGAAATTCTCATTTGGGTTGAGATATAGAGGATTACCAAAGACGATGACTCCATTGTTGCCGCTCTGGTCACCTAAAGCTGTCCCAAACTGAGAATTTGTATTGTTGAAGATGCCACTAGCACGCCGAGCTTCATCAGTCAATTCAGCCTCGGTTAGCTCCGACATCGCGTCGCGGAATCGGCCCTAGGACGGCCGCTCTGATACCATGACAATTTCTATGTTTAGGGTTGAGAAATGGTCGAACAATTACAGAGTCAGCAGTGTGCTGCTCTGCTCTTTTATATCAGCTCATAATCTGGGATTACAGGTAGTTGCCAAGTGTCTGTATGACACTGGCTGAGTTTAAACACTAACAGTGTTTTAACGGCTAATACTCAACAATAATAGAAACGGTGTCGCAGCACCTTTAGGAATAGAAACTCTACTGAAACGACTTCATTTCTTCTTCCTCGTTTCTTCTTCTTCTGCAATCCTTCTTCCATATGGATTTGCTGTTCTTCAATTCTGTCATCCCTCCTGCGTCCACCGAATCCACCAGCACTGTCAGATTCCTGAACCCGGGGCTGGGCCGGCCCATCACCGCCACCCACTTCGGGTCGCCCCACCCGAAATCCTGACCCGTCACCCCGAACCCATTCCAGCTCGTGAACGCCAGAATGTCCGGCGTCTCCGCCTCGAACAGCCCTTCCAGCTGCTCGAAGAACCCGAACAAAGCTTCAAACCCTTCCTCCCCCTGAAGCAATTTCACGTACTCGCTCCTGTACAGCTCAATCGCTCCGCTAAGATTCTCCGCCAGCTCCGGCAGGTCAACGACGTTCGATTTGTCCGCCCACGCCGTTGCCAGCCAGAACACGTTCCCGATCGTGTCGCCGCCGACGAGCGGCGGGTCCGTCACGTCCCGCAGGTTCACCGCCTCGACGAGAATCGAGGTCCTGGGTTTGCCGCCGGAGATCAATCTGGCAGCCGCCATGCTCGATTTCCATATGAGGCAGGACACCGCCTCCACTCTCGACAGCTTGATTTTTTCCTTCCCCTGTTCTTGCTCTGTTTTTCCTCCCGCCGCCGATGCTACGGCTCTCAGCTTCGAAATCGACTCGGAATCGAAAATGAATCGCCGGGTCACGTAGTTTCCTTTTATAAACCAGAGGGTTTCCATCAGATTGCGGTAGTTTTCAGGGAAAGCTTCCCTCGGCGGGAACAGCTCCGCCGCCCGACCGAAACAGGGCGGGGCAGAGGAGAGGAACTCCGCCCTCTCCCTGCCGCCGCGGGTGACGGCGGAGAAGGCCTTGAGGAATGATATCATAGTGAATCCGTCGATCAATTTGTGTGAAGCGGCCCATCCGAGGGCGATTCCGCTGCAGGCGAAAACAGAGACCTGCATCTCCAAAACAGGGGAGTCGAATTCGACGCTTTCTCGACGGAAGGGAGCTCGAGGGAGGAGACAGTTGAGGTTTTCCGGTTCACGGAGTTTGAGGAAGTCGGAAAGGCGGCATCTGTCGACCTTGACATGGATGAACGGGAGGCCTTCCCCAAACATGTTTATGAGCAAATTGCCCGAATTCGTCCTGCCGGAGAAAGGGTAGTAGACGGTCAGAGTCTCGGCAAGAGAGCGCTTCAGGTGGGAGATGAAGCGATCGGTGGATCGGAGATTTGGGGTTTGAGGGTTGACGTAGAAGAGGATGAGTGGTGTGTAGGTTAAGTGAAGAGCTGGTCGAAGAGGCAGAGCTTGTGTGGAGGTTTCGTTTTTACGGTTTCAGGGGAAGATGGCTTGACTAGCTCCCTGGATACGATTCTGACCTCCATTTCTGATACTTTTTTTTCCTTCTCGTAATGGCGTGAATTGTTGCTTACTGGCTGGTGATGGCGATGGCCTTCTCGGGGTTCTTATAGATGCTGTGTTTTTGCAATGAATTACCTGTTGTTGGGTAGCTAATGAAAGGCTGCAGAGATCGTATTCAATTTTGGAGACGTCAGCTTCTCTGCTTATGTTCAATTTCCAACGTGTTTCTCTTTTGGTGTTTTTTTATAATGCATTAACATAAAAGACTTCATAACATTTTCTATATTAGAAGAAATTGTGATCGATGTTGTCTGGAGTTCGATTGAGGATGAAGGAGAAACGATAACATCTCTGGAATAGGTCACACGAAAAGAAAGCATTGAAAGCTGACTCGACTCGTCATTATTCATGACTTATCTTCACCTCTTCTGTGTAGAGAAGCGATGGGTGCTAGTTCCAACCAGCGGCGGATCTAGGGGGCCGACCCCTGGCCACGGTCCAGCCCTTCCCGAATCTAAAGCTCGTATAGTACTTGTAAATTTTCGATTTTGGATATATATTTTCGTGTTTATTGGGTTACGGCTCAGCCCTCTCCATCGCTTTTTAAATGCGGTTCAGTGCTCTAACCTGTTCTGGATCCGCCGTTGGTTCCAACCGAATACCGATCGATTAACTTAGTTGTATGCATGCATGTCTCCATGGTGGCGGGGACCATTTTGGATAGACCTACATTAATATTGCACATTATATATCCTCAATCTTTTTTCTGGGTTATCTTGATCTTGATTTGCGTGTTGTAATGGGAAAAAAGGACTTTGTGATGACTAAATTTTGGTTACCACTACACCTGCCAAGAAATATGCAGAAAGCTGGGAGCTGTAACTTCAATTTTACTTGTTTCTCGGGATGGCAGTAAAACCCATGGCCGCGGGTATCCGACCGCCCCCAACCCAGTCAACGCGGGGAATCCCCGCTTTGACCGGGTATGGGTAAAACCCGCAAAATGTTTGATGGGTATGGGGTGGGTATGGTTTTGAACCCCCCCCCCCCCCCCCCCCCCCCCAATACCCATACCCGCTCCATCAAGAGAATTTTTTCACATATAAAAAAATATGTGGATTTAATTGTAATCTATCAATGGCGATGAAGATAACTCAAGGAAATAAATAGTAGAAATGCAATTGAGTGACCATTTTAATCAAAATCTAATTCATTTCCCTCAATTCTCCTTTCACTCTTTCACTTTTCCCCTTATCTACAAGATTATGTTAGTTAAGTATTACTTAGTAGATGTATAAGAGTTAGAAGATAATAATTTGAAAAATATTATGCTCTATATTATGTATTAATGGATGTTTTATGATCATATACTTTGAACCGTATTAAGAAAATGATCGTATTTTGTTGACTATAATAGGTTCGTTTAGAGTAATAATTAAAACTTTTCTTGTAAATTTTAGGTATAATAATGTTGGATGTATGGATACGGGTATTACCCATGGGTATCCGAAACCCACGGGTATGGGGATGGGTTTGCAAAACATTCCCCCGCATGGGTATGGGGCGGGTATGAGTTTGGGTATTTGAAGATGGGGATGGTTTAAACAAACCCGCCCCAAACCCGCCCCATTGCCATCCCTAGTTTCATTGTTTAACCTTGGAAGGAAGGGGTGGTCTGGTTTTAAATTTATGCTGAAAAAAAAAAACTGGAAAAGGAAATTCAAATTACCTATGAATCCAGCTGCATGATTTTGAAGGATAGCGATTGCGACCAAAGCAAATCTGAGTGACGGTAGACTTTAGGCCATGAATCAAGCAGCTAAATTTTGAAAGTTGGACTGGCTTCTTGCTCGTGACTAAATGAGGCATAGCAGAACCAGTGATATTAAACTGCATGGGTCTTCTGCAGATCATGTCTAGGGAATCACCACAATGAATTGAATTGCCGGGGAAAAGGAGTATGGGTTGCTTACTTTTATAGATAACGAAAGTTGGAAATTGTACGTAGTATGTTGGTTCAAAGTAGGACTCTACAATCACTGGATCTGTTTATAGATTAGTTCAATTTTTTCTGTTTAATGTAATTCACTGAGCATATATGAAATCGTCACCGCATCTTTAATTACGAGTTGTCACTTGAACTGATCTTCTCGTACGACTTCGGTCCTTGTAAAAAAACCAAATCATAACCATTAAATTTTACCTGCATATCTATCTTTTAGTTCTACTACCAATAAGTAACAAGTGGTTACGGTTAGGGGTGGGAATAGGTCGGTAAACGGTAAACCGTTTACCGAATTTATCGGTTTCGGTATACCGAGGGTGGCCAAACTGTTTACCGATACCGGTTTGTAACCGGTTTACCGATTACCGAATTACCGGTAAACGGTTACAAACCGGTTTACCGAATTACCCAAAGGACGAAGTGGGGCGTTTTTTCGGTTCGGTTTACCGACCATTTACCGAACCGAAATTCTGTTAGTGGGGAAGATGTTGTAATATTTTTATTTTTCTGAGTTTTTTTCTTCATTTTTGTAATTAATAATTTATAACATTTTTTAGACCTATACTTATGTATCATTTGTAACTCTTATTTATAATATTTTTTTTCATGATGTATGAATATTTGTGAATAATGAAGTATATGTTATATGTTAATACTTAATGCCATAATTTAATATTTGAGTTCAAACACTAAGTTGCTATCTATTAATCTATTTAATTTAACATAAGTTCAAAGGGTCAACAATCATGATTCATGAATCAACATCAACTCTCATCAAGCATCATCATTCATCAAATATTCAAATTCATCAAACGACAATTCAACAAACATCGTCAAATTCAAAGGGACAATGATAATGTCTAAATTCAACACAAGTTCAAAGTCCAAACTTAAAAATTAAAATAGACAACCAAATAAGTTAATAACCAAGAGCTCATGCTCTTCCTTCTCCGGTAGAACTTGTAGCACCACCAACATTTGCACAACCTTTCTTCTTCAAAGTCCTGAGAAGAGTATCATCGGGATCATCATCAGCATCTTGGTTCATGTCTTCGTCGGACTCGGTGGATTCTTCATCATCACCCTCCTCCTCCTCCTCCTCTTCCTCATCAACCCCAACAACAGATCCATGTGCTCCACTTGGGATGTCACTTGCAGTTTCCACTCGAGATTGGAAAGTATTAGTAACTAGTGCAAATAAAATACACAAATGTTAGTATGTTACTAATGGAATGGTTTAAAATTTGAATAGTAAAGAGTATAGACAAATTAGAATAATAAATTTAAATTGAATTCTTACCACTTTCATAATCGATTGTCTCTTGATCTTCTTCCTTACAGTTCATCTGCAGTCTTTTCATTTTCATATCTAGCTGCATTCTTACCACTTTCATAATGCTTTCTAGACAACCGCTAGATAATCGTGATTATTTAGTTGCGGTTATGAAGTAAACCAAAAAACTGTAACCGTATCCCCCCCCCCCCTTAACTTCACTAGCTCCCCCTAGAAACCAAACCAAAATGCAATCTAGCTGCATACATATATAACACTGATAACAGTACCATACATATGAGCACGTCCTCACAGGCTTAGATGATTGGATTCGGATTTGCAAAAGCCAAGAACTCAGGATCCCGCTCGAAAACCTTCATCTTCTGTTCCTCCAGCGTTATCCAAGCCTCCATCTTCCCCCCTACGTCCACCGAATCCACCAGCATCGTCAAATTCCTGAACCCGGGGCTGGGCCGGCCCATCACCGCCACCCACTTTGGGTCGCCCCACCCGAAATCCTAACCCGTCACCCCGAACCCGTTCCAGCTCGTGAACGCCAGAATGTCCGGCGTCTCCGATTCGTACAGCCCTTCCAGCTGCTCGAAGAACCCCGACAAAGCTTCAAACCCTTCCTCCCCCTGAAGGGATTTCACGTACTCGCTCCTGTACAACTCAATCGCTCCCCTAAGATTCTCCGCCAGCTCCGGCAGGTCAACGGCGCTTGATTCGTCCGCCCACGCCGTCGCCAGCCAGAACACGTTCCCGATTGTGTCGCCGCCAACGAGCGGCGGGTCCATCACGTCCCGCAGGTTCACCGCCTCGACGAGAATCGAGGTCCTGGGTTTGCCGCCGGAGATCGATCTGGCAACCGCCATGCTCGATTTCCATATGAGGCAGGACACCGCCTCTGTTAATCGCAACAGTATATCGAAATAGAAAGCGTAAATCGACACCGAGAGTTACGTGGTTTCCTCGTTCAGTATGAACGAGACTAGTCCACGGCCGAAGCTATAGTATCGTATTATTCAGCTTAACTTCGACAGGTCTGGTTACAAGCATATATATATACAAGCTAGAGAAATAACCCTAGCTCCTAACCCTAGCTATCTCGCCCAGTCCATGCAATTCCCATACACCCGAGCTACGTATGGGAAGTGGGCTTGAAGCCCACGTTACATTACTCAACAGCCTCCCCCAAATTGATGAGGATCTCTCATCATCAATTTGCGAGAAAGATAGAAATGACGACTGGCGGAGAAGGACTTGGTCAATAAATCAGCAATCTGGTCTTCGGATTTGATGTGAAAAAGACGGAGAATGCCATCACGAACCAAGTCACGAATATAGTGCAAATGAACCTCAATATGCTTCGTCCGATCATGGAGCACCGAATTCTGCGCGATCTGAATAGCACTAGTATTATCGACATAAAGCTGGAGAGGAAGACCACAATCAACCCCAAGATCAACAAGAAGACGACGTAACCAGACAAGTTCTGAAGAGACATCAGACATAGCCCTGTACTCGGCCTCAGTAGAAGACTTTGAAACCCGATCCTGCTTCTTACACCGCCAAGAAATGAAAGAGTCACCTAACCGCACACACCAGCCGGTGGTAGATCGCCGCATGTCCACACACCCGGCATAGTCGGAATCCGAGAAAGCTTGTAAAACAAGAGAACCTGAGGAGGGAAGGAATAATCCGACCTCCATGGTACCCTGCAGGTACCTCAAAATCCGATGAACAACAGCTAAATGATCCGTACGAGGAGCACACATGAACTGGCTGACAATTTGTACTACATAAGCAATATCGGGACGAGTAGAAGTCAAGTATATCAGACTGCCAACAACACTATGGTAGTGTTTACCCCCGTCGGACAAGAGGTCGTCGGACTCCCGCCCAAGCTTGAGGTTCATCTCCATGGGAGTAGATACAGGCGTACACTCAGCAAACCGGGCGGTCTCAAGAAGATCATCAACATAACGGGTCTGACAAAGAAGAATACCAGCAGAAGAGCGCTTAACCTCGAGTCCAAGAAAGTAATCAACAAAGCCGAGTTCCTTAAGATTGAAGGAGGCGTGGAGACCATCAGTTAGGGCTGTAATTCCTGCAGAATCATCACCAGTAATGATCATATCATCAACATAAATTAGTAACACCACTAGACCAGCACCAGTATGTCGTGTAAACAACGAGGGATCTTTGAGGCTCTGCTGAAAACCAAGAGTCAAAATGGTGGAATGAAACTTGTCGAACCAGGCCCGCGGAGCTTGTTTCAAACCATAGAGAGATCGGCGGAGCAAGCAGACTTGATCAAGAGTACCACGAGTATAGCCAGGAGGTCGTTCCATGTAAACAGTCTCCTTGAGCTCGCCGTGCAAGAAAGCATTCTTGACATCAAGCTGGAAGAGCGGCCAACCCCGCATAGATGCCACAGCTAGCAAAGATCGTACAGTCACCATATTTGCCACAGGGGCAAAGGTTTCTTCAAAATCGATACCATACTCTTGACAAAACCCTTGAGCCACCACACGCGCCTTAAAACGCTCAAGGGATCCATCCGGTAAGAACTTCAAATTATATACCCAGCGAGACCCAATGACTGGCACTGTAGGTGGGGGACGGGGAACTAAATCCCACGTATTATTTGCTTACAAAGCCTCAAACTCAACATCCATAACTCGATCCCAATGGGGATTACCTTTAGCCTGAGAAAACCTGGTGGGAATCGGAATAGGATCCACACTATAGGCCATATAGTCCTGGTAGCGAATTGGTGGCACACTACGAGTTGTGCGAAGAGAGCGACGAGGAGTATCAGCAGGTGGTGGGGAGTCATCATCATCCGAGGAACTAGACACATGCGGATCGGCTGGGGGAGGCGAGTCGGGGGATAGCGGCGGGTCCTGAGGGTCGAGAGTAACATCATCCTCATCATCCTCGGCAGAGGTAGGTGGCGGAAGTGACAGATCAAAAAGGGACGGTTCAATCGAAGAATGGGAAGTGTGATACATTAAGTTCTCAACAAAAACCACATGGCACGCAACCCGGATGCGACGAAGTGCAGGATCAAAACACAGGTAACCCTTATGGATGTCACTATAGCCAAGGAAGCAACAACGGGCAGTTTTGGATGTGAGTTTGGTGCGCTCTGAACGGGCAAGAAGAACAAAGCAGTCACACCCAAAAACACGAAGACGAGAGTAGGGTGGTGGTTTGTGAAACAGACGGAAATATGGACTAGTTTGGTCGAGAACAGGTGTGACTTGATAGTTGATGAGACGGACAGCAGTAGCTACGGTTTCATGCCAGAAAGTGGAGGGTACACACGAGGAGAGTAAGAGAGCACGAGTGACTTCCAAAACATGACGATTTTTCCTCTCAACTAAACCATTTTGTTGAGACACCCCATGACACAATTTTTGAGACAAAATACCCATAGACTTATACAGACCTAACAAGGGACCAGAACTGAATTCTCCTCCTGGATCAGACCGAACTACACGAATTGTTCGATCAAACTGGGTTTTAATCATGGCAAAAAAGTCGGTAGCAACAGTTAAAAGGTCGGATTTTAGTCGGAGGAAGTAGACCCACGTGTATCTAGTTGCATGATCAATGAATAATGCAAAATATTTAAAACCGAGGCGTGAGGTTGCGGGACTAGGTCCCCAGAGATCAGTATGGATCAAGTGGAATGGCTCTGTGATCACTGTGAGACTAGAAGGAAATGAAATACGGGTGGTCTTTGTCTCAATGCAACTAGTACAAACAAAATCCGAAGAAGAAGGAACTGAAGTAGTGTTTCCAAATAACTGTTGTTTGAACATAGTCATAAGACGTTGTATGTGGGTGACCTAACCGAGCATGCCACAATTGAAACGGTTGATCAGAAAGACTCGAGAAAACAGGAAACGAGGGACTAGAAGACTCAATAGCCAAGGACCCTGAGGATGATGATGGACGCAGCTGCTCAAGATAAAAAATTCGACCCCTCTTGCTACCCCGACCGATCTCCCTCCCTGTCTTCTGATCCTGGACAACACAGCCAGAAGGTGCAAACGTAACACGATATCCTTGGTTAGTAAGCTGACCAACAGAGACCAAACTCGGAACAAGACGAGGCACATGATAAGTTGAGGGCAAAACAAAGTCCGAACTATGAATTGATCCAATACCAGTAACATGCAATTTATCACCATTTGCAACTTGCACATAAACATCATCAATAGGGCAGACATGTTTAAGATTCGTAGCATTACCAGTCATGTGATTAAAACAGGCTGAATCGAGTATCCAAGAGGGAGCCTTACCCGATATCTGAAGACTAGCGAAGGCCGACGAAATGGCCTTGTTCACCATTTGTTCAAGTGCTGCCAGTGATACAACCAAATTCTCGGAAACTGGCGCTGGGCTGGAAGCATACGCGGGACGAGCAGAGGAAGAAGACCCACTGCTACGGCCGCCTCCACGACCATCGGCCTCGCGATTCCTTCCTTCTAGGGCGGGACAATCCGGGATGATATGCCCCGCCTTTTTGCAGTACACACAAAAGTTCCTCTTCCCGCAATATTTCTTAGTGTGACCCTTTTCTTTGCAATGAAAACATTCAACATCATTACCATTTACTCGTCGCTGAAAGGGAGCTCGATACACCGCGAACACCGCATCATCATGAGCATCAGCCTGCTCGCGCGAGCCTCTCTGTGGTGTCCCACTGCCAGCCACTGTCGGAGTCGCGCTAAACACAGCGCCCCCAACACCAGTCCCCGGTGGCACGTCAAGAACCGCCTGAGTACGAAGGCGCGTCTCTTCTTGGATCAAGGAGACGAGAACGTCTTCAATCTTGAGATTCTCACGATTCAGTAGAGAGGCCCGAATTGGTTCATATTCCTTTTTGAGTCGCATGAGGAACTGCATCAGCCGCATCTTCTCGCGTTCAGCCCGAACCTCCGCCGAGCCTGCTGTGGTGAGAAGAGACGTAGCAAGCAGGTCCTGTTCAGTCCACAAGTTCCGAGCTTCGTTGTAGTACGTCGTCACGTCCATGCTGCCCTGGTGAAGCCGCGCCAGCTCCACCTCAATCTCATACTGTCGAGAAGCAGTGGCAGTCCTATATGTCTCGGCCAAATAATTCCACATGGCTGCCGCGGTGGGAAGCAATCTAAGACCCAAAATAATTGAGCCATCCACCGAATTGAGGAGTTGATGCCTAACCTTTGCATCATTCATCACCCATTGAGAGACCTCCTGCGCCGAAGAGGGCGGCGACGTCGGCCGCGGAACCGAAGCATCGAGCCAGCCCATCAGCCCTTTTCCTTCAATTAGCGTCCGAAACTGGAACTCCCAGACTGCATAGTTCTTGGAGTTCAGGCGTACAATAATCAGTTCAGAAGACAAAGTCTCTGATACCATGTTAATCGCAACAGTATATTGAAACAGAAAGCGTAAATCGACACCGAGAGTTACGTGGTTTCCTCGTTCAGTATGAACGAGACTAGTCCACGGTCGAAGCTATAGTATCGTATTATTCAGCTTAACTTCGATAGGTCTGGTTACAAGCATATATATACAAGCTAGAGAAATAACCCTAGCTCCTAACCCTAGCTATCTCGGCCAGTCCATGCAATTCCCATACTCCCGAGCTACGTATGGGAAGTGGGCCTGAAGCCCACGTTACATTACTCAACAGCCTCGACTCTCGACAGCTTGATTTTTTCCTTCCCCTGTTCTTGCTTTGTTTTTCCTCCCGCCGCCGATGCTACGGCTCTCAGCTTCGAAATAGACTCGGAATCGAAAATGAATCGCCGGGTCACGTAGTTTCCTTTTATAAACCAGAGGGTTTCCATCAGATTGCGGTAGTTTTCAGGGAAAGCTTCCCTCGGCGGGAACAGCTCCGCCGCCCGGCCGAAACAGGGCGGGGCGGCAGAGAGGAGCTCCGCCTTATCTCGGCCGCCGCGGGAGGCAGCGGAGAAGGCCTTGAGGAAGGATATCATAGTGAATCCGTCGATCAATTTGTGTGAAGCGGCCCATCCGAGGGCGATTCTGCCGCATGCGAAAACAGAGACCTGCATCTCCAAAACAGGGGAGTCGAATTCGACGCTTTCTCGACGGAAGGGAGCTCGAGGGAGGAGACAGTTGAGGTTTTCCGGTTCCCGGCGTTTGAGGAAATCGGAAAGGCGGCAGCTTTCGACCTTGACATGGATGAACGGGATGCCTTCCCCGAACCTGTCGATGAGCAAATTGCTCGAATTCGTCCTGCCAGAGAAAGGGTAGTAGACGGTCAGAGTCTCGGCAAGAGAGCGCTTCAGGTGGGCGATGAAGCGGTCGGTGGATCGGAGATTTGGGGTTTCAGGGTTGGCGTAGAAGAGGATGAGTAGGGTGTAGGTTAAGGGGAAGAGCTGGTCGAAGAGGAAGAGCTTGTGTGGAGGTTTTGTTTTTACGGTTTCAGGGGAATATGGCTTCACTAGCTCTCTGGATACAATTCTGACCTCCATTTCTGATAGTTTTTTTCTGGTAATGGCGTGAATTGTTGCTTACTGGCTGGTGATGGCGATGGCCTTCTCGGGGTTCTTATAGATGCTGTGTTTTTGCAATGAATTACCTGTTGTTGGGTAGCTAATGAAAGGCTGCAGAGATCGTATTCAATTTTGGAGACGTCAGCTTCTCTGCTTATGTTCAGTTTCCAACGTGTTTCTCTGTTGGTGTTTTTTTTATATATTGCATTAACATAACAGACTTTATAACATTTGCTATATTAGAAGAAATTGTGATCGATGTTGTCTGGAGTTCGATTGAAGATGAAGGAGAGATGATTACATCTATGGAACAGGTCACACGAAAAGAAAGCACTGAAAGCGGATTCGACTCGTCATTATTCATTACTTATCTTCACATCTTCTGTGTAGAGAAGCGATGGCTGCTAGTTCCAACCAGCGGCGGATCTAGAGGGCCGCCCCCTGGCCACGGTCCAGCCCTTCCCGGATCTAAAGCTCGTATAGTACTTGTAAATTTCCAATTTTGGATATATATTTCAGTGTTTATTGAGTTACGGCTCAGCCCTCTCCATCGCTTTTTAAATGCGGTTCAGTGCTCTAACCTGTTCTGGATCCGCCGTTGGTTCCAACCGAATACCGCTCGATTAAGTTAGTTGTATGCATGTCTCCATGGTGGCGGGGACCGTTTTGGATAGACCTACATTAATATTGCACATTATATATCCTCAATCTTTTTTCTGGGTTATCTTGATCTTGATTTGCGTGTTGTAATGGAAAAAAGGACTTTGTGATGACTAAATTTTGGTTACCACTACACCTGCCAAGAAATATGCAGAAAGCTGGGAGCTGTAACTTCAATTTTACTTGTTTCTAGGGATGGCAGTAAAACCCATGGCCATGGGTTTTACTGCCATCCCTAGAAACAAGTAAAATTGACGCTTTGACCGGGTATGGGTGTATGGGGTGGGTATGATTTTGACCCCCCCCCCCCCCCCGCCCCATACCCATACCCGCTCCGTCAAGAGAATTTCTTCAGATATAAAAAAATATGTGGATTTAATTGTAATCTATCAATGGTGATGAAGATAACTCAAGGAAATAAATAGTAGAAATGCAATTGAGTGACCATTTTAATCAAAATCTAATTCATTTCCCTCAATTCTCCTTTCACTCTTTCACTTTTCCCCTTATCTACAAGATTATGTTAGTTAAGTATTACTTAGTAGATGTATAAGAGTTAGGAGATAATAATTTGAAAAATATTATGCTCTATATTATGTATTAATGGATGTTTTATGATCATATACTTTGAACCGTATTAAGAAAATGATCGTGTTTTGTTGACTATAATAGGTTCGTTTAGAGTAATAATTAAAATTTTTCTTGTAAATTTTAGGTATAATAATGTTGGATGTATGGATACGGGTATTACCCATGGGTACCCGAAACCCACGGGTATGGGGATGGGTTTGCAAAACATTCCCCCGCATGGGTATGGGGCGGGTATTGGGTTTGGGTATTTGAAGATGGGGATGGGGATGGTTTAGACAAACCCGCCCCAAACCCGCCCCATTGCCATCCCTAGTTTCATTGTTTAACCTTGGGAGGAAGGGGTTGTCTGGTTTTAAATTTATGCTGGAAAAAAAAAACTGGAAAAGGAAATTCAAATTACCTATGAATCCAGCTGCATGATTTTGAAGGATAGCGATTGCGACCAAAGCAAATCTGAGTGACGGTAGACTTTAGGCCATGAATCAAGCAGCTCAATTTTGAAAGTTGGACTGGCTTCTTGCTCGTGACTAAATGAGGCATAGCAGAACCAGTGATATTAAACTGCATGGGTCTTCTGCAGATCATGTCTAGGGAATCACCACAATGAATTGAATTGCCGGGGAAAAGGAGTATGGGTTGCTTACTTTTATAGATATTGAAAGTTGGAAATTGTACGTAGTATGCTGGTTCAAAGTACAACGCTACAATCACTCGACCTGATTATTATAGACTAGTTCGGTTTTTTTGTTTAATGTAATTAACTGAGCATATATGAAATCGTCACCTCATCTTTAATTACGAGTTGTCACTTAAACTGATCTTTGTTAGTGTTGTTGTATATGATTCACAATTGAACCTCTCTCAACAACTCGAGTTATTGGGATCAACTGGTTCTTGACATTAGGGGTGGAAGTTTGGGTTGCGGGTTGTGGATAATCCGCAAACCGCACCTACCCGCATCTATTGTGGCTAACCATACCCACAAGTTGTGGGTAGTGGGTAGTAAAATAACAATTTTTGTCGTTAGTGGTTATCCACTACCTACCGCGGTTAACCCACAAAATCCACAATAACCACACTAACTATATTTATTTAGTGAATTAACTTTATAATATAATAGTATGTGAAAAGTGCGAGGATAAAAATTAAAGTAGTCACCAAATAAAAAAGACACACCTAATCAGTTTTATATAAGAATTTTTTAGTTTATAAAACACTATAATCGATAGAGTGGAGAATAATCAATTCATTAAAAGTGAACACCTAACTTTTATCAGTATGTTTTTGCTTTTGTGTGAAAATATACAATATCATATTTAATTGTCATATTTCACCTCTAGTCGGGGAAATATGAAATCACAGCTCTCTGACACAAAGTTGAATGCCAAACTCAAAAAGAAAAAATCTCCACGTTGAGTAAGATCGATGTACAAAATTGTATCTCCATGAACAACACAAGTGTATATCACTATAATCTAGTTACGAACAACAAATACGTTAGTGACAACTAGAACTCTATGCTTGTAAAGATGGATTTTGCGGGTAACCACACCCAACCCACACAAACCCACAGTGGGTAGTGGTTACCCACTAACCACTGTGGTGCGGGTTGTCGGTAGCATAATTGTAAATTTGTGGGTGTGGGTACCCGCAAAATGTGGGTGGGTAACCACACCCCACCCTACTTGACATGGTATCAGAGCCTTCTATGACCGAGAGGTCTTGTATTCGATTCCCGGTGACCCCCATTTGTTAAGCACATGGTATTCTTGTCTTCAGACTTGTGCAAACTTCAAGCCCTTGTGAGTGGCTTTCGTTTGAGGGGGTGTGTTAGTGTTGTTGTATATGATCCACGATTGAACCTCTCCCAACAACTCGAGTTATTGGGATCAACTGGTTCTTGACAATCTTCACGATGACTTCGGTCCTTTTAAAACAACCAAATCATAACCACTAAATTTTACTTGCATATTGTCATAATAGAAGCGTGCAAACGATAATCCAGAGTTCCACAAACGAACACGAATTTAACGTGGTTCACTAACACAATGTGTGCTAGCTAATCCACGGGCAGGGGAGAATAAATTTCACTGATTTGAGGAGAGTACAGGTTACAAACCAAATTTCAAACAAACTAACCTGACTGACCTTACTACAGACTAGGGTGATGAAGAGTATTTATAGAACTCTTCTCCTAATCCCAAACAGAAAACCAAACACATTTTCCCAAACATACAAGGAAAAGGTCAAACAAAGCCCAAACACAAACCCAAACAAAATAGACCCAAAACACAAAACAAACCCAAATCAAATTCAAGTCATATTCTAACAATCTCCACCTTGACTTGAATTCTCTCTCAAATACCAAATGTACAAGATGCAACCAAAGTTGCCAGATGTACCCAACTCCTCCAAATCAGTTGTACCAGAATCTCCCCTGCCTCCAAATGCCCCTAAGGGCGGTCAACAACTCAAACCATTTGGCAAGTCTGAGCATGACTTGCCATTCAAAACCAGCTTGGTGCACTTATCACCAACAGAACATATCAAAACAGAATCTTGTAGATTATACAAGGCACCACGCTTGACACCTTTCAAAATCACCTCAGAACCCTTGTAGACAGACAACACTCCACCTTCACCTTTGAAACTGAAACCCTTGCTGTCGAGTAGACTCAAAGATATCAGATTCTTAGTCATCTCTGGAATATGTCTAACATTGTTCAAGGTGGGAACAGAACCATCATGTGTCCTCATCCTGACGGAGCCTCTTCCAACAATCTTACAGATAGCACCATTGGCCATAGAAACATGTCCTCCATCTATCTGGTCATAAGTTGAAAACACTCCCTACTTGGACACATATGATAATCAGCTGCAGTATCTGAATACCATACATCCTGATGATGTACCTGTTCATTCACTGCTAAGGCTTAACCATCTTCAGAATCAGAGTTAGTTTCTTCCGCCACAGCAGTAGATGATTCCTTCTTCTCCTGATATTTCTTCAGTTTAGGACAATCAAATTTCGAATGTCCTTTCTCCTTGCAGTAATGACATATATCATCTTTCACACCAGCAAAATTCGAATTTGTATTCGTCTTCCTATTACCAGATTGTTGTCTCCTACTACTCGTAGCAGCCAACCCAGATGCCTAATTTTCCGAACCAGAACCAGACGCCTTATGTCGAACCTCTCTAGTATGTAGAGCAGATCTAACATCTTCCAAAGACAAACTATCTTTCCCAGCAATAAAAGAATCCACAAAATTCTCATATGACTGTGGCAAAGATACTAACAGAATTAAGGCAGCATCCTCATCATCTACTTTAACATCAATATTTCGCAGATCTAACAATATAGTATTGAGTTGATCTAGATGATTCCTGAGAGATGTACCTTCCTCCATACTCAAACTGAACAAACGTTGCTTCATATGCAACTTGTTGGTTAAAGACTTTGTCATGTATAGACTTTCAAGCTTCAACCACAACCCGCGGCAGTCTTCTCAGCAGCAACCTCAGTGATGATGTCATCAGCTAAACAAAGCAAGATTGTAGAGTGAGCTTTCTCCTCCAAACTAATCCACTCTTCTTCATCTATGCTTTTCTTCTTCGAATTTTCAAACAACGGAGCCCACAAACCCTGTTGTTTTAACAGTGCTTGCATTTTGATCTGCCACAAACTGAAACTGTTTCTCCCAGTGAACTTATCAATCTTCATACTGATATCAGCCATCCTTACTATCAAATAAACTCCAACCAAACTCCACAAAGAAAAACTTCAGTCCAGCGCCAAATTCCCAAAACCGCAACAAAAGGCTCTGATACCACTTGTCAGAACAGAAGCGTGCAAACGATAATCCAGAGTTCCACAAACGAACACGAATTTAATGTGGTTTGTAGACACCACATTTTGTCCGGTCTAATATCTATCACGGGAATATCAAACTAAGCTTTCAATCGAGAAGTGTGACACAATAAACTTGGTTCATAAAACCAAATCGAGGAGCAACATGGGTCATGGTTAGCAATTCAAAGAAACCAAAATTATTCAAAGTTCGATGATAAAGCTAGAAGAATATCAACGAAGAATTGGAAGATCGACACAATCATACATCACTACAAAGAGTTCCAATTTACAGATACAATCCTCAAATACAATTTGAAAGAAAGAATATTTTCTATCTAAAAGTGAAGAATCAAGCCCAGCCCAACGCAAGGAAGAGTGGAAGACCATCAGCAATGCACCTGCAAAAAAAAAAAAAAAAAAAAAGAGAGAAGAAGAAGAATCAGTTAGTTAAAGCCCAGAATCAGAGCCCAGTTCGGCCCAAAACGAAGCCCAGGTTCAGGAGTAGACCAAACCCATGCTCAGGCCCGTAACTGCAGGCCCAACTCGGCCCGAAGCCAATGGATAACCATATCCATAATAGGCCCTGACAAGTCAGAACCGACTTTAGTAGGTGGAGGCCTGAGATGCGGCCTTAAATTTGACCAATCAGGAAGAGGCAACACAACTTCAGCCTCAACAATGACCAATCAATAAATGACACGTGGCTCGTCATTTTTACTATAAATGATCTCTTTCAGCTCTTGTTTAGCAGAGGGGAAAAGGGGAGAAAACACAGATTTCATCGTTCTTTCTTAGAGAATCCATAGACATCTTCCATTTTCGTTTTACAAGCGAGGTGGGCGAGCCAGAGGCAAAAGCAAAGGATCCTGAGGTCCAAGGTTACAGATTTGTACTCTTTCGTCTATTTAGATAATAATACAAGTAGAACCATTTACGATCAATCACTTGTCCATATCCTTTTAACTACTAGTGTCTCTATCATATTAGTTTCTTTCATCTAATATCCATTTTTCATCTTCCCTCCATTTAAGTGCTCACTAATTACTATTGCTCTTTATGGTTAGCAATTAGTTATTTATTGACTATACTTGCTTAGCATACATCATGACTCCGCTTTTTATTTTACAAGCAGTTATTATAGCCAAATTTTCCTAGTTTTAATTTCCCTTCTTGCTATAGAGTCGATAACCACAATATTATCATACATAAACAAATTTAAGTAGTATAAATAGATAAAGTTTTGATCTCTTTAGATCAAGATCTAGATCCAAATCCAAACCCCCAACAAAAACACCATAAACATAATAAATTTCTGATTCACAAACTTTTACCAGTTCTTTAATCAATCGAAAATCATACATCAAATAAAATCATAAACACAAACAGTGATTAGTGGTCAATATTTTAGCAAATCACATGCAGAGGCTGTGATTTATATTCGTCAAAGTAAGCATTTTAGAACATATTAATTACTTCTCATTAAAGAAAATTCCTTTCTTACCAAATTCTAGCAGATTAGGAGTTACTTCTAAAACCATCAACCAAACCACCAAGCATGAAAATATTCGAGATCATCAAACACACATACAACATATTTCCAAACCACATATTTGTAAACCAAATATAAACCGAAACACAATCCTTTCCTTTTTTAGTTCAACCACCCCAATCATATTAACCCGAGTTTAGGACAACCTTACCCAGATCTGTCCATTTCCAATAACTGCATCAAAACAAAAGTAGAGGTCAGAATAGATTAAAGAGGTAATAAACCGAAACAAAAATAAAATAAAAAAAATAAAATTCTCACCTGACTTCGTCGGCTGAACTTTGCCGACGGAGATCTCGGCGACCAAAGAGTCCCTCATCCTCCACCCGACTGAAATAAAATTTTTATTAAAACCCAAAATACGAAATAAAAAAATACGAATAAACCCCAAAAAAAAATTAGTCCGAACCTATCGTCGACCGTCCCTTGGTCTGGACGTCGCCGCTGGTCTTCGCCCTCCTTCACCCCTCGTCCAACACCAAAAACCCAAACAAAAATCAAGATTAAAATCACGTCTTGTGTGAAAAAAATTAGATCTAAGCGTGCATGTTTAAGAGAAGCTCACCGAAGAGTTAACCGAGAGTAGAAAGAGGTAGATCGAGAGTCCCTCCTCGGTTTTGGATCGATCTCCGAAAGAAAAACAAGAAAAAGGGTTAGAACCTCATTCAAAAACCCAGAAATCAAAAGAAAATAGACTTGCATGCAACGATCTTACCTAGATCGAAGGTCTCCCGCTCGATTTTTAGCGACCTACGTCATATCGAGGAGAGAAAGGGTCGGCGGCTAAAGGAGAAGCTCCGAGGAGTTTCTTCACCCGGGTCGTTTTGCTGGCGGCGGCATAGGAAAGAGGCTAGGGTTTTTGCTTTCTGGGATAGAGAAGAAAAGAGCACGAGAGGTAGGAAGAAGAAGAGGGATCGGCGGTTGAGAGGCTAAAGGTGAGAGGAGAGAGCGGCGGCGACGAGGAACCAGATGGATTTCTGGTTTGGCGAGAGGAAAAGAGGAGAGAGCGGCGGCGGTTGAGAGGCTAGGGTTTGTGTTCTCTGGATGAGGAGAGAGTGACGGCGGCGATGGCTAGAGGAGGGATAAGATTAGGGTTTCGTTTATTTTTTGGAAGAGGAGAAGTTGAGGGTTTTGGTGTGTTTTCTGGAAGAAGGAATCGAGAGAGAGAGGCAAGAATGAGATGGACGAGGGAGAGAGAGGGCGGCCGCCTCTCTTTAGATTGATTAGGGTTTCTTTAGAGAGTATTTATACCCCATCGATTAAAACGACGAAAATACCCCTAGGGTTTCCCGTTTATTACGTGGACTTGCCACCGCGTTTTCGTGAAACTACGAAATTGCCCCTCCCTTTTCTCTGAAACCAAAAAGCGACGAAACAAAAATGAGGCTGGCGGACTTCGAACCCGCGTCCCCAACAACAACATCACTATGCTTGGGAGCATAACCAGTTGGGCTGCTGGCCCATCATCCGTCATATTTAACCATTCCGCTTAATTTTATTCCTTCAAAATCCTTAATACGAAATGTAGAATTGCGGATTAAGTTTACCTCGTTTTTTTCAATACGTCACAATACTTCCTAATAACTAAAATACTCGCATTTATCGTCATAACCTCATGATAATCTAAATGCATTTTTATTATTAACAAAAATTATAATACGAAAATCATGATCAGTGGAACGTGATTACAATTAAATTATCAAAGTTCGAACGAGCTACGTGGACTTTGATCCCGTCTAACGGGTACGTAGGCAACCGATAAGGTCCGAGTCCAACTAACCAATTAACTTTATCTTTTACGTCAGTGGGCGTACAATTAAATTACAGCTAATACGATTAAAATCATTAAATGGTCCAGTGGGACCTAAAATTACTAAAATATTAATAAAATACACCCAACTCATATAAAAACTTATCGACTTAAGTAGTACCGATTTAGGGCGTTGTGGGGTGTGATTTCACTTCCCCACACGTAACCGAACTCCCGAACCCAGAACTTCATTTCCGCAGATCATATCTCGGTTCTGACCCTAAGGTTAGAGCCGATCCTAAGAGTGTTCGATCCACTCCAAGTAAGATCGATGGCGACTCCCAAAAAATGCCGACGCGACGACATCGGACCCCCCCCCGGAGGGACGGTTGCGACAGTTGGCGACTCCGCTGGGGAATTCGAGAGTCGAGCTACATAATTAAGTTCGATAAGTTTTCTATTTTCCTATTAAATGTTGGGTGTTTACTTTCTTATTTTCGCAATTATATTTTCGCAATTTAATTTTGCATTCATGCATAAAAGCTCTATACCCGAGCTATCCTATTAGAAACGGAAAAGGAGTATCGTGACTTTCACAGTAGTGAAAACCACGCAAAACTTTCCAACCAAGTTGAACTCAGATCCGAGGTTGATCTTGAGGTATCCAGCCAGCTCGTAAGAGCTATGGCAGGATACAGCTTGGGAGCCAGATCCCTAGGAATTCCCCCTTCCAGCATATAGTAAGCATAGAAACCTCCCTAAGCCGTCCAAAATATTTCCCAAGCCACCCTAAAACCATGTCGTTAAGCCGCCCTAAAGCCCTAGGTCTACGTAAATAGGGTAATGATGTAATGATATATATTTGCTTATCTAAATGTATGTTTACTTACGACGTAATGATATGCGTTTTATCTTTTGCTCGTAAAACTGTGTGATTGCATGAATGAAAAACGTTTTCAAAATTCATAAGCATCATTCTCTCGTAACATTTTCATTTACTCATTTACAACTTATCATAAAAAGATAAAAATGCATGCATGATGAAAAATAAATTTGCATTCATACATCATTAACATTTGCATAAGCATCATGCATACATACCCATAATAAAAATGAAAAATAATTTGTCAGTTTTAAGATGGTTCAGGGTTTCTAAAATCATTCATCCACGAGGAAAGAGAGTCAAGTCTTTAAGTATTTGACAAGATCCAAGGTTGAGCTCATCATGGAGGCATTCCAGAAGAAGATGGGCGATGTTGAAGGAAAGTTGACCGGATTCGATGAAAAGCTATCTGGGTTCAATCAAAAGCTAGAAGGTGTCGACGAGGTGAAAAATAAACTAAATTTGCTTATAGGGATGATGTCAGCAAAGAAGAAAGAGATAGCAACCAATGATGAAGAAATGTCAGTTTACAATGACGATAATGGCAAGCCACATAATGGGGGCAATTCGAGCAAGAAATTCATCAGTATACCCATAAACGAGAAGCTTGATAAAGACAAAATTGGATCATCAAAACTTGATGACTCGCAAGGGAGACGGAAGTTAAAAGAAACTGTGATCGATGCCACATCAAAAGAAAAACTTGAACGACTCGATGAACGAATAAGAGCTATAGAAGGAACGGAGTCATACGGGTCCACAGATGCATCACAATTATGTCTGGTCCCAGATGTGATAATACCTCACAAATTCAAAATGCCAGAATTTGAAAAGTACAAAGGTGCTACTTGCCCCAGAAGCCACATGGTTATGTATTGCAACAAGATGGCTAACCATATTCGGGATGAAAAATTGATGATACATTGCTTCCAGAATAGCTTAAGTGGTCCAGCTCTAAGATGGTACATGCAACTCGAAAGATCAAAGGTGAAAAGATGGCAAGATTTGGCTGATGCATTCTTCAGACACTATAAGCATAACCAAGATTTAGCTCCAGATAGGGAGGATTTGCGTAATATGGAGAAACAAGAGAAAGAATCTTTTCGTGAATACGCCCACAGGTGGCGAACAAAAGCTATAGATGTTCAACCTCCTCTATCGGAGAAAGAAATGGTGTCAATCTTCTTCGACACACTCAAGCCTCCCTACTACAACAACATGGTAGGAATTACCACGACTAACTTTGTCGATCTTTTGATAATCGGTGAAAGGATAGAAAAAGGGATCCGACAAGGCAAGATGGAAATACCAGAAGGCTTCGCGAGACTAAGCCAGAACAAGAGAAAGGAAGAAGAGGTATATTCATCCCACAAAGAAGCAAAAGAGAAAACATGAAAAAGCAATTTTCAAAATAATCAAGCCCTCCCATATGTTGCAACTACCACACCAATATTGCAACCTCCAAACTTCATGAAATCAACGATCCAACATCCCACACCGATACCACGACAAGGTGCCAATCGAGATGTTAGTATCACAAGGAAAGCAAAAAGGGTATTTGACCCTATCCCGGTCACGTATACCGAACTCTTTCCTCGATTACTCCATGATCGTCTAATCACTCCTATTCCGGGCGAGACTCTACAACCTCCATTTCCAAGGTGGTATAGGTTCGACAAGCATTGCGATTACCATTCGGGAGTCCAAGGGCATTCAGTGGAAAATTGCAACGCTCTGAAGATAAAAGTTCAAGACATGGTGAACGCCGGATGGTTGAAGTTTGAATAAGAGGAGATCGTTTACACGTCAACAACAACCTGCTGCAGACTCGTGGAAGTCAATAAGCATAATCCCAAATAAATATCGAGATAGCTCGCCACGATAAAAATGTATCACCTTTTGCTGTCATCATGAGAAATAAAAGGTTACTCACGTTTCTACCTTCTCGGAGCATTTCGTGATCATTATCAATCTCGATTTCGGATTTCCCATCAATGGTCCCTATTTTTCCAAGTAAAAAATCTATTTCACGAATTTTGACTTGAATTCTCTGAAATAAATCATAAATCAATTTCATGTGTTCAAGTTAAGCCATGGGATTATCATACCAAACAACTATGAACACCCTACTGGTGTTGAGAGATTACGAACACCCTACTGGTGTCACGATTTTGAACACCCCACGGGTGTTGAGAGTACAAAATGCCAACTTATGTTGAGTATATAAACACCCCACTGGTGTCCGTAAATCATGTGAGATGATAGTCAAGGGATGTAGTGGGGATACGACATCAGGCTATTTTAAGAATCCTGTCACATTTAGCCGAATCTCGTCAACAAAATAGTGTTTGAAAAACCATCCAATTAGCCCAGCCATCAAGAGAGACACTCATGTTGTCAGCCATCAAGACAAAGTTATAACCCTTTTGTGATCGTGCCCAAAACCACAAAGTTCAGTTGAAGACTTAGTAAAATACGTAGGGGCATAACAAAGTCAAGCAAGTCCCACAAACGTGAAAGTTTCAAAAGGGAAACAACAACAACAAAACATTGTGGGACTTACAACTAGATGCCCCTTTCTATGTTATCTAAAGTCATAACCACTCAGCCAAGAGATCTTCCAACCAATATCCAAGGAAGAAGCTCCAGCAAAAGCTTACGTGATAAGAAAAAAAACCATGCAGTCACTACCACTACACAAAAGAACTCCTCAGCATACCATTCTGGGTTGGAGCAAGAGTTCATTTGCTTCCTACTCATTCTTGCCTCTCAAAACCAATATTTTAAGAAAAGAGGGCAATACAAGCTATAGATATACTCTCTGGAAACCACCAACATTTCCAAGAAAAAGAAAGACTTCCTCGATGAGAGAAACTACAAACCTTATACGAATCCCCTATTCCCATAAATTAGCCACATATCTTTGGGGGCAAGCCAAAATTTCTCGACAAAAGTCACGAGATGGCCAAAACCTCTCAAATATCCTCATTGTGTCATTGTCTTGACCCAGCATTACAGGGCAGTGAAAATTTCAGGATAAGAAGATCCCTCAGTCAAAATCAACCAATAACCTCATTTCATGAAAAATCATATACCTCCACGACGAGACCATATGAGATCACCTAAATCAACCACTCAAAGCTCTCTTGTTGAGAAAAACCTTAACCTCAAGCTCATGTGGCCGTCAACATAGACAGAGTCATCTCATGGTGACAGGAATCTTGATAGTAGTCGAAGTGTCGTAAACTTAAAACATCCATAGGAATGAGTGAAAGTGAAAAAGAGGTCAAAAACAAGAGTGAGAGATCATGGATATTCTCATGGCTTGTTTTGCACTCTTCTTGAAACAAAAACAACTTTGAGCATTATGAAAACAAAATTTGTAGCAAAAGTCACATAAGAAAATGTATTTGCTGATTTTGCACACAATTCCCTAAACAAGAGCTTCATTATCTAAAAAATGAGTTTTCACTATGTTATATCAACAAATTTATTTGCAGACGTTGTTGCATTTATCCCGATTCGAGGATGATAAAAAATCACTTTTCGTTCCATAAGATGGAGAATGAATACCCTATCTTTGGGGG